GACAGGAACTGGGGAGGAAACAGGAGCTCACCCTGCTAACGCGAAGGCTGGACTCGAACCGTTGAAGCGTCAACAATTTCTGGACAGCAACTTTCAGCGTCATTAAGCCACTGCGCCACCACATCCCCTGCTACAAACTAGATATTTTCAATTGTTATCTAATCATATTATTTGTTTGTTTGTTAGATTTACATTCTGCAAACAGCAAATTGGAGATTAGCTTCAAAAACTGGGATTTACACTGGAGGTGCCACTGACCCTGAGAGAAGAGAGCGAGAGAAGAGCCTGTGCCGATTCTTAAACAAAGGATTCTTGATGCCAAATAGCAAGCAGAATATGGCAAAAGACTTCCCAGAGTTCAGTTTAGACATAGTAAAATCTGTTTTAAACCAGCCCTGTATCTTGAACAGCTTAAGGTTAATAATACGATCTGTAGGGCTTTCACATTACTGCCCAATGGGAATATTGAATTACTGACCTACGTTTTACTATAATTTCTCCAGAGATACCTATATCAAGGTGCTTCCAACCACCACTCCCTCAGTTATCAGACCATTCACCAAATCTTACCAGATGAATTTTATGCGAAGCTCCAAAGACACCACAGCTAATGCTAGGTTTTCATTTGTAGCTTGTAAAATTAGTCCTTTGCTAATATTAATTTGGAATTGATTACTGGTCATATTAAGTCAGGTATTAGGGTGTCATATTGTTCTTATTGTATTTGATTGAATTTTATTTTGACATGTTTGGTGTTTGTGACCTGTAACAAAGAACAAAGGAAAGTAATTCATTGTTCGTAAGTATTTGTAGAATTATGATTTTATTAAGTTCAGCATATTAGATATAAATATAAAGAAATGCTTATTGACTATATCATCATACTGCCTTCTCTTTTTCTCTCTTTTTAGTATTTTTTTTCTTTGTTTCTTTTCCCTAGTTTTATTGTTAAGTTAGTATATTGAGGTATCTATCTCTGGGGGAGATGGGTGACATATAAATTTAATAATAAATAAAGCTTTTTTGAATCTTTTGGATTGCACAATATAAGTATTGTGCTCAGTTGTTATTACTGGTACTGTTTAAATAAAATTTGTAAAAAAAAAAATCTGTAGCTGCAACCTGAAGTGAAGAGGCAGTTGTGGTGGTAGCTGTAGGTTTCAGGGGTACCAGCATTAAAAAGAGGGCGTGAGAGGCAGAGGGCAGCAGCCAGTCCCCACAGAACAGTACAAAGGCAATGGCTGAGGGGCCTCTGCAGGAAGAGCAAGAAGGAGGCAATGACACCAGCCACCAAGGCAGCAGGACCACCTGCCGCTTTCTCTCCTCATGGGCAGTAACCGCCAGGAAAGATCCGGGCTGCTGACTGCTGGAACACAGTCAACTTGGGCACATGCCATCTCCAGCTGCTCTGGAGAAAAAGTTAATGAACCAGAGCAAACTGGCAAAATAATCCCCCTGATGTAGTACACAGATTGCTTTATAATAATTTATGTATTGGTTCAGCTTAAACAAGATAGACGCTTCCCGTATTAGTATAGGATACAAATGCTTGATACACATGATCAGAAATTTTACAGAAAAAAATAAGGTGATTATTTAATGGCTGGTGTGGGTCTTCCGGGCTGTGTGGCCATGTTCTGGAAGTTTTGTTTCCTAACGTTTCGCCAGCACCTGTGACTGGCATCTTCAGAGTGCAGGAGCACAGACAGGAGCACAGACAGGATTATTTAAACTAATCATTATGACAGTTGTAATAATGCATACTTTTTACTTCATGAAGATGCTTTCCCAGTAATTACCACCCCCTATTTTTTTATTTTTGTTATTAACTAATGCAAAAAACAAAGAAAAAGAATACATACAATTATAAAATAAGAAAAAAAGAAACAAAAACATACAGGACATATATTTACAGACATACATCAATAAATTGAAGCCATGATTTGTTACAGTCATCCATACTGATCTGTATTAATCAGTTCTGCAAACCACTGAATAGATGGAGCATATGTTTGCCTTTTCAATGCTAAACAGTAAGTCTTTTGGCTATAAGTCCATTTTCATTATCCAGATGTCAAGTTCCATGTGATAAACTTCAATCAAATATAAATATCTGAAAATATTAAATCTCAAAGTTAATGCATGTAATTACTTCTTTCCCAAATGGAACTATATATTTAAATAAATCATTAATTTCACTGATCTCTAGCAACATAAATGCAATTTATAAATAATGCAAATTATAATATTTATAAAATATTATTTTATAGTTGTAAGATGTAAAAGTTGTAAAAGATGTCTACTGAAATGTTTCGGTGATTCTTTTTTTTTTTACTTTTTTCAAAATCGTTTATGTATGCATATATATCTTTTTCCTTTCCTTTTGTTTTTGCTTTTTTTGTTTACATGTTTTACTTAACCAGTAAAAAAGATGTTTAAAAAATCCAGCCCTTACTTTTGACAGTTCTGAACAGTCATCTTCAAGTATACCTTAGATGCCTTAGATACGTTCAAACTAAAATCAACCTCTTATTTCACATTTACCACATCTTTAAGCAAATTGTTCTTCTGCTGCACAAAGGACCTATGAGCTTCTTGATTAAAAGATTTGGATGTTGTTGTTAGATGTATGAGCAAAGTAGCAAAGCAATGCATTTGGAGCAATCGCTTCATTCCTTTTTTCAGGAAATCTCTTGGTTAGAAAACTGTTGTCTGTCATTAATATATTTATTTCTTCTGCTGCTTTAATGGTAACATAAGAGCTAGTTCTTAGTAATCCACCTCTTCAGTTGTGGTTAAAGGGGGACTATAAGGGGCAACGATTGATATTCAGCCTTTCTGCTGAATAATGAAGCAGGTATAAGGCATAGGCTAACATTTGGATTATTAACTCTTAATCCTTTTTGGATGGAATGACACCCAAAGTTTTTACAAGAGGCCATAAGGTTCCCATTGGTCAAAGGGCCTTGGAGACAGCTGGCTTATCAGAACCTTGAACTAATATATATATTGGCATCTTTTATCTCACTTTCTCTTGGCAGTTTAAAATCAATCTACTGGATCTGATGGAAATTGGCTCCTTCATGTTTTGAATCAATTTTGTTCATTCAGCTGAAGATAGCAGCTGTTTGTGATATAAGTGGCGACTTCTTTCCTCCATGAAATCAGTAATTGGCCAATCTTCTCTCAGGGCATTGCATATTCCAAAGTCTTATTCTGCTGCCTACTACCCTTAGAAATATTGCATACCCAAGTTGTTGGAATAGTCCCAAGCTAGATATGGTCCTAAGATGTCACAATTGCTCTGGGATGGGTTCTGGAATGGGTGAGCACCATAAATTTGGATGGTGAGTTTCAGAGAGTTACTGTTTTTAAAGTCCTTGAAATGGGTTTGGAAAATGCAGTTCTGTTCTCATTCATCTTCATCCCTAAATATAAACTTTTGAAGGACAACAGAAAAGGATTAGAGTCTGCCTTGGTGCATTTATATTCTATTTCTCTTCTTCCTCTTTTTACAGCATACACCTGAATCCTCATTTAATGTGAGGAACATTATTGTGTAAGGTAGCTAAGGATCTACAGTGCAATACTAAAGAAAAGATATGGGAGTACTTCCCATCTGATTTTGGTAAAATTCTTAATACAATTATGATAGATGTGTAATGCCTCAGAGTAATGTCAACAGAGCTGTACAGTCCAGGGTGTTATTTGATTTATGTGAAAGACTCTTTTTGGGCATATGGAATAATTGTTTTGCAGTAACAGATCATTATAAAATGTCTCAAAATGGATAATTTTCTAACATTTTCAGGGCCGTTGTACAAGAGAGAACTGCAAATATCTTCATCCACCAACACATTTGAAAACTCAGCTAGAAATTAATGGTAGGAACAATCTGATCCAACAGAAAACTGCAGCAGCAATGCTTGCACAGCAGATGCAGTTTATGTTCCCAGGAGCGCCTCTTCAGCCAATGGTAAGTACCTTTCATGAAATGCCAGACCATCTGCCTTATCTTCATAGCTCACGTCTGACTAACATAAATGACAAATGCATTTATTATCACTTAAATTTATATATTACAATATTGTTATTCTATATTGTCAAATAAAAATGTATAGATCATTTTTATGAACGTTTTCTCTTTGTAATCTTATTGCAGCTGTTGAACTTTTTCCACATTGGGACAAGCCAATTTATTCTGGATAAACTACAAAGAAAATACATAGATTCAACTAAACTGAATAATTTATATATTAATTTTCTTATAATATATATAAATATATTTATAAATATATATTATTTGCATACACTTGTAATTTGTCATGGACATTGGTGAATATTTAGTTATAAAATTTTAGCCTGTGATGTGAAAATCCTAAACTGATCCAGAAACTTTTTGAGATGTAGAAATCATAACAGGTAAAAATAGTAAAAAGTTTGGTGTAGTGGTTA